GAAAGAGGAGAAGGCAACCTAAGTTTCCTTACTCCTCATTCTGGAGTGCTCTCTCATTCCAGTCTGGCCTCTTCTACAGTTTCACCAACACTATCAATATCTGCAAATGGTTTGGTCATTCCCCTACTTAAACCTTTGGAGATACAAAAAGCCTATCCTTGAAATCACAGAGTGAAATCAAACTAGCTCCCCACTTTTCAGGTTCTTCTTCTTCAGCTCTTCTACTCAAAACTATTTTAATTGGACTGAAGCAGAATTAAAAATACCTTATTTGAAGCTCTCTGATATTAAAGATTGTCAGACTGAAGAAATAAAAAGAGCACAGAATTCATATTGCCTTACAGAAGGACTGGTACAGATGCTGTCCTGCTCTGAAAACACAGGGGCCTGAAGAAGATCAAAGGAAAGCAAGCAGCTTGGAAGAGACTCGCAGACTGATCTATGCACATGTGGTCCTGCAACATGTCCTCCAAAAAGTTCTAACTCAAAGCCCCATCTGTTAGATTTCTTACCCCCAAAGGGCATTTTGGAACTCAGACAAGTTACCATAGCTATAGCACAATAATTCTCTGAACTTTTTCCAGAGGAAAGTTTTCTAAAGGAGGGCAAGCACTGCCCCAAGAAAGTGTGCATGTGTTGCTGCATTGTAGAGAGGCAAAGCAGACACAGTTTATGAAATACGAAACCCTCTGCCTCCTAATGAGTGTCCTACACAGGGAACCCTGAACATACATGGGCACAGAGCACAGAGAAAAGTGAGCACGGAGGTGTGTGGTGCTCTTCTTTCTCCCTGGTACAGCTTTGCAAAGGCAAAAGCAACCAAGTGTGGCAGACCTATCTCAAAAGTGTCTGAAGCAAAACTGAATGTGAGCCATTGACCAAGTCTCCATTATGATCTGATGCTGCACCACGAGTGAGGTTCCTCAGTCTCTGTGACTGTTTCCAGAGCTAACACAGGACTCAGCCACTTGCACTGAGTCTACCACTGCATGGGGAAATTTAAGGCACATATAAAGCAATCAAAGCAACATCCCTCAGCTGCTACACGGGGGGTGGAGGGATTCGGACAGTAGTAAAAAAAATAAAAATAAGCCTGCAGGTACCATGGTTAAAACTTTGCTACTTTAAACCACCAGTTCACTTAATCTTTGGGCTCAAATATAAGATGAGGCAAACCAAGATACAGGCACAGCATTTTAGCTCTGGCACACAAGTAATTCTGTGGGGGGGAACACTCAACCACAAAGGAAAATGGACTGAAGAACATTTTTTTCCTACATAATTCAAATTTAAAAAAACCAACACAACAAAACCAACAACAATACTTTACAGTTACAATCCTGACTTTTTTTTCCCTATTGCCCACTTAATCCTATGAATTTTCACAGGAATTAAGCTAATAATTTATTTAGCTATGTTACCTCCCTCAGATTTATGCTAAAGCATTTATGTTAACAATAACCTCCATGAAATAGGTTGTTACCAGCAGTTAACCAGATTGTCACTTTGCTTTGGGCTGTTAATGGGCTAAGTAACTGGTCTTTGATTGCACTAATCACTAATTTTGAACAAATTTATTGCAATAATTACTGAGACTCAATGGTTTAATTTGCTGACATGAGTGTTAGTTAAACTATATTTAAAATCTAGGGAGAAACACAATAAAAGAGCAAGGAAAAAATACAAGCAGAACTGACGGTCTTGTGGCTGCAGGCTTTAATCTTTGTGTCTGAAAAGGCCAATTATCAAGGAACAGGAAGGCTTCCCATCTGCTTTTTTTTTCCAGCCTGGTTTCTTTTAGGGCAGAAAGCAAGCCAGAAGGCAACAAGAGGTCAACGTGTGAAGGAAAGAGAATTTCCATCTACTCTCACGTTTCAAGCTGCTTTTCTCTGCACTCTCTTTATTCACTCCTTCTAGTATGCAGTGGTATCTCTGGTCCATTAGTGAGACAAAGCCATTGTCTCTACCAATCACTTGGCTTTCCTTTGCCTCTACTCTCCATGTCCACAATGAAATGCCACACACTGACAATGGATCTGATTTTCTGCAGGGGGTTAGCAGGGAAAGGTTACTCCTGCATTAGCTTGGACCATATGGCAGCAACAGAATGAAACTGAAGTCATTGTCATAGATGTAGAAGGCTGCCTCTGCCATGAAGGAACCAAATGAACGCTGTTGTGACTACTCAAGGGATTGGCTAATATTTGTTGCCAAGTACAGGTGTATCTATAACTAAAGGTAAAAAAAAAAAAAGGTAACAGGAAATCTTGAAAAACAGGTTGAAATGTTTGCCTCAGACAGACTTCTAGCATGCCTGTTAAATGGCAGGCCTATTTAACTGGTAGAAGTCTAGTTTGAAATTCAGACTCACAGTTTGCATCAACAAATAAGTCTCCATGTTGTTACAAACTGCCAAATAGTGCTCTGTCTGGACTGGGTCCACCAATCAGGTATTCAGATATAAACGGTATTCAGCAGTACATACAGTTAATGCTTGAATTAAAACTGATCTGGCAAGCAAGTAAATACATAAATAATCTGCTGCTGCAAAGTGGGCAGCTGATCTGACAAAAATTTGGCCTCGCAGCAGTGTTTCAAGGTTTTACTATGAATTAGTTGGACAAAACACAGTATCATCTATTCTTTTATTTGCTATGAAATATCAGAAATAAGGGAAAATACAGTGACAATAGTCTGAATAATTATATTTTAAGTGTCTCATCAGATTTAGGAAAAAGGCAGCAGACACAGTGTTTGAGGGAAGGAACAGAGATAATTAGTTGCTTATGTAATGACTACACAATACAAACCATCTCTTTGGTTGTGCAAATGGCTTTTAAGTTCATAACTGACCATTTGAAATTTCTACACTCAAATGGTACATGTAGTCATAGAAACTTGTGGAAATTAGGCATATAATTGCTCATACTAGACATGTACTCTTTAAAATTAATCATGCATCTTTGCTTGCTTTATTGAGCCCATATAGTTAGAGAAAGATTATGAGATAAATGTATTCAAATGTCAAAACATTCTTGTATCTATAAAATAGCCCAGAGAAATCTGCCTTTGTGAACTTGAGTTGATGCAAAGACCAAGTTCTAATGGGAGACCTATGGCTCCTCCCAAGTGAGACCATCTACCATGGGATGCAACACCTTCTTAATAGATGAACATCATTATCACATCCATCCCTGAATCTCCCTCATTTTTCAAAGTCCTTACCTAGAGACTTAGGTGTTCTGAAAGAAAATACAGAACCTTTGGGAACAGAGGAGTAAATGGCAAAGCCTGTCTTTAAACCTTTTTCCACTGAAGTGCTATTTTCCCAATGCCCTTGAACAGTCTACTTTCAGCTTCCCCTTTCTTCTGCCTCCCCTTAAAACTATGCTTCACCCTCTGGAGAACAGAATCACTCTTGACTGCTTAAAACCAATCTGCAGCTCTCCAGAAATGTGTTGTCACACAGTTCAGTCAGCTCCCTAATCTTTTGGGAAATACATCGATCTACATTCAGTTGCACTTCTTTGGGAGTTGAAGATCTGAATTATCAAACAATATTGCATTTGTGTCAAGTGAACTCAGAAGATAATAATAACAAATGCACTGAGATCCAGGTCTCAATCACTGCAGAGGAAAAGTCAGAAAATTTTGTTTCAAAACTTGAGGCATACAAAAGGAAAAGCTAAGATATGAAAAAAACGATCAGTGGACACAATTATATTTTAACAGAGAAAACCAAAGGCTTAAAAGCTCTGAGGAATCAAATTAATGACCTGGAAAACAAGCTCAAATTAAGAAACATCAGGTTGGGGGTGGATCCTTAGGGCTTGGTGGCGACAAGAATAGAAAGATTTTTCTAACGGATTGTGGAGGTGTTGGGGATGAATAATCCTCGATACCCTCTGCAATCTATCTCTGCTCTTTGTATTTGCAGCAATGACAATCAGGCAACACCCATCATGATGTTCATTCAATGTGCAACATGTTACAGATCATGTTGTAATTTTCAACTCATCCGCCTTTTTCCAGACTCCAACTCTGATTTTCTCTGTGATAGAACAAGGGGTTAATTCAAAGACTGCAGTTACTCTATAATTACACCAGTATAAATAAAATTATGCTTAACTGTCTTAATGGATTAAAAAAATTTGTTTGCTGTTTCACACATGATTTTTGAACGTTATCTAAATTTAAATAATACCACAATCAAATTGTTTTCAGAAGCACATTGTGGGTTTGATTCCTTGCTTGTCCTACTGTGAAGCAGAAAGAAGTGCCTCAACTCAAAATAGTAAAAGCACAAAATTGATGACAGAAGGGAATTGGACTCTTTGGTTATTTATAGAATGTTAATCTTGTGATTATACTAATCAGAATCATTATTTATGTGGTGCCTGTTTGCTCAAGCATTATAACCATCTCTCAAAGACACTCTGAAAGGCACAAACTATTTGCTTATGTCTGCTGAAATACAGAGCATGCATGTCTAAAACATGCAGGGTGGTCACCCCTGGCATTGTCTGCACAGCTAGAGAATAAGAGCTGCTGAAGTGAATGGCAAAGTCACTACTTCATTCAATAAAACTGAGAACTGTCTCTTAAGAAAATGATTTTAAAAAATAAATTCCAGGCCATCAAATAAAGCCCACTTTTAGTATGATTCTCTGGCCATAGATGTTAAAGATGATAGGGGCAAGAAAGAACATTGAAAGGTTGCAGTCTGGGGGTAGGAGAGTACACCAGGACTTTGGTGGCACTCTGAATTCCTGCAGTCCATCAGAAGGATGAATGAATCTCATCCAAAACCATGTGGATCCTCTTCCTGAAAGATGGAAATAGCAATGCCGGGTCATTTCTGCTTATGGGCTGTAAAGCTCATCTGGCTCTACAGCAAAGACATTTGTAGAATAGCACCATGAAATCCCCCATGAATGTTATGTGAAAAAAAGGACTTACTCTTTAGTGCTGGTTAATCTGTGATTCGGTATTGGAGAGATACAAGGTGGGAGCAGGCATGAAGCTGAAGGGTCCTCCAGACGCTGCTTCTTGCTTTCAACAAAGGTATCCAGGCTTTCTGTCTGCTTTAACAACAAGGGCAAAGCTTGAAAGATCCAGCATCTATGCACAATATCACTTGCCATTAAGAGGAGCTCAGGAATCTCAATGTATTTCCTTTACCGTAGTAACAGCTAAAATACTGGTCTAAGAGAAGTGAAAGTCACCTAAAATCAGGGCTAAACGTGCTCCAAACACATGACATGAAGTTATATAACAAGTGACAGAGCCAGCTAATTAGGAAGCAAAATGCCTCATGTGCTATAGTTATCTTCTGAACTGCACTGGAATGTAATTAATAATTCAGATGGAATGACTTGATAGCACCAAATCTTACTCAAGTAAATAGCTTTTACTTGTTGACTTAATGGAAGTTGATGGAAAAACTTCCCCGAGTAAGTATTCCTCACAGGACTAGGAGACTACAGGACTGAGCTACTGGGCTAGTTATTAACAGCGATAGCTGGTTTAAAATTTGCTTTGAAAGATTCCCTGATGCATGACTTTTGTGCCTGAACTAGGATGATACAAGCAAAGCTGATTACTGCTCTGTCACTGGAACCTTCATATCAGCCTTCAGGCCCACTAGTAGATGACTAAAATAAATCTTTCAATAGCACAGTTAAGAAACGGGCTCTCCCTACCCTGTTTTAACTGTTGATATACCCTCAAGTCATCCTAATTGGTTTATTTCCCCTTGGGTAGCAGTGAACAATCATACAGCAACTGAACAGGCTGTTTGAGAGCATAGCTTATGTTTGTACAAACCCGAAGTGAGATTTCTAATTTTGTTGCTTTCTGATTCAAAGTCTCAGCTAATGAAATTACAACATTCCAACTTTCATAAAACCTTTTCTGGGAGCCCCTGGTTTAGTTGCCAATACTATACTCTTGTTTTAGCCAACAGTCCTTCTCCATCATGCTGACTCTCCACTAAGTTACCTAGGAAGAAGGTTTTTTTTTATATAATTAATATCCGTCGTGGTGTACTTAAACATACACATAAGCATGGGCATTTATACAGCCCTTCCCCTTTTCTTCTTTTCTCCTTCCTTCTTACATCTCTGCATTTAGTGTACAGCTAGAATTTAAATTTAATAAAAAACCTCTTGAGTTTACTCTTGTGATTATTTCCACTTAATTCTACAGGGAAGGAGCCAGTGCAGTGACTCATGAAAGCAGGGGTGCAGACCCTGTGTCTGCCTGGCGTTGTCTGTCTTTGTCTTGTATTAACTCTCTCGTACTACTGGACTTCACAAACTCAGGATTTCAAGTCCACTAGAACAGACAGCTGAAGTCACATTTACAACAATTTATAAAATTTGGCATATAAAACAAATACACTAGGATGCCTTCCCACAGACAGACCAGAGCACACAATTTCTGGAAAAAAATTACTACAGAAATTCATTTATGATATAAACCTTCAGTTTCTTTTCAGAAAACACATTTAGTTTGAAGTGTATTGTCATATCCCATAAGATAGGATACCCTTGGGCATAAATAACATAAAACACATGATAAAACATAATGCCTTAAGTCAAAATATGTTTGCTTTTTCAGGTAGCTGTGTAGAGAAAGCAGCTAGTTAAGAAAATTATATTTCTAGGAATCACATTTGTTTATGCAACAAAACATAAAGACCTAATTCACCAGAAGCATAAGCACCATTCCATTGACTTTAATGAAGCTATGCCTGTTTAAGCCAGTGGTGAGAATGCCTTAATCCTGCAGACAATAAAACCATGCCTTCCTAATAGAAGTCACATTTTCTTGCTATGTCTGGACCCGTAGTAATATGAACTCATCACTGGGAATCTTTCTGCAGATTACAGAACACTGGAAATTAATGGGTAAGTGAGCAAATACAGTGAAAATCTTGTAAGATAAATCTTCAGAAAAAGACATTGTTCATTGATTTTGTCAGCTGGAGTTTTTTTTTCACTGGTTTCTGATGTTAATTTGTAATGCCCTTGTAAATATATGTCCTCTGTAAAAACAGCAAAGCCTCAGCATCCTTGCAATCCCTGCTGCAGGTGCAGTGTGAGGAACCACTGGCTGCAGTCCTGACCTCAAGGAAGCACAGAAATTCAGTGTTTTCCTCCAAAAGATGAAAACAACTTACCTTGTGTTTCCTTTTGGATTTTGTGGATGGTTTTTCAGTTGCTGGGGTAGGGGACTCTCGAGATGGTCGCCTGTGTTTCACAGCCGCCTCTCTTGGTTCACTTTTCACAGATGTGGTCTCAAAAGGCTCTTGTCCAGGTATCCTAGAGAGTAAACTAAGGTCTATTTTCACCCACAGAGTTTTGAGTTCTTCGTATTCTCTCAGTGGGGACAGAAGTTCATTTTGTACGATTGGGATAGGAGAAAAGAGCTGCTCCTCCAAGTCATTGCTGGTCTGGTCAATGGATGTGTTGCTGCCATTGCTAGTTAAACTACTTACACTGAGGATGTTACTGCCAGAGTCCTTCACTTTGATGCCATTGCCAGGCCCAGTACAAGCTGGCAATACCTTAGCCTGTAAGCTCTCCTCCTGGTCTGTGTTTGAGTCGGAAGTAGATGAATCAGTTTCAATGAATTCCCGGGACTTAGGGACAATTTTGCTAGGGCCTCTGTATTTTTTCTTCTCTGAAGTGAGACCTGTGCTCGTTCGTGGTTCTTTCCTTGGAGCGGTCTTCCCAACTGCTGCTTTAGTTCGAACCTTTGGCTGCTCGGGGGGTTCCTGTGTGTCTTTTTCTTTGGGAGTGTTGCTGGTATTATTTGGTTTGGGCCAGTTATACTCTTCTACACTGGAAGTCCTTTCTACCTTTTTGGGTTGCTTTTTCCCAGTAGTCCTTTGTGAAGCTGGCTCATTATGAGCTGGTGACTTCTGCTTGGAGCTTTTTGCCTCGGGGGTTTTCTGGGCAACTCGTGGTTTGGCTTTTTCTCGGATGGGACTAAGGATCGCCCGGTCTTTGGAATCAGTTGGGGGCAGGCTGCTGTTGAGCTTCCCTTTGTTTGGCCCTTCAGCCTGCTGGTTACTCTGGGCCTGGGAGCTAGTCTCACTGTGAGGCTCATTCTGATTGTTGATGATGGTCTTGTTGTGGGGGTTCACTTTATTTAGCCATTTATCCAGCTGCCATTTGTTGGTTGAGGGAGGTTCAGGCTGCAGTTTGAAGAACAAGGAACAAAACTCAGACAGCAGAAATGTTTTTCCCTTTAAATGAGAACGTTTTTATTTCAGTCAACTAGTGGTGACTGCTAGTTTTATGGGTGTATTTATGGAGTATTTATGGTTAATTAGGCTTCCTTATCTGGTTTACAATGTGACCCTAGAGAAATTTAATACAACAAAAAAGTTTAGCTGGTCCCTGAAGACATAGTTTTGTCACATTGCCTTTCCTTAGTCCCAACTGAATACTGTGTCAATAAAATCTTCTCTAGCTACTGGCAAAAATCTAAATATTTCTTTAAAGCTATTCAAATGTAGGCCAGAAGGATTCTTCCAAAAGCTAGAATGAGTATGTGGGTCATACATACATATACAACTGTAAAGGAGAAAAAAGTCGACAGAGTCAAACAGCACGTAACTCCAACATTTCAACATTTTCCTAAGAGGGAGCAGGATTTCATTCCATTCCAGACTTCCTCGCTGAGCTCCCACTGGGGAGGAGCGGAGATGTGGCTTTACCTCTGGCGTGGCACTGCGTGACTCCCCGTTGCACTCGCTGTCACTGGAGCTGCTCTCGCTGTCCGAGTCGGACTCAGAGCTGCTCTCGGACTCGCTGGAGCTCCCGGAGCCGCCACTGGAATGTGCCAAGCCAGCCGCGTGTGCCGCTGGCACCGGCAGGCTGCTGTGGGGAGAAGATCCACTCGTGTCAGTATGATGCCCGTGTTTTTTAAAGTGGCGCTTTGGGGGGAATAACCCAGTGAACCCTGTTCACACCAACTTTCCTCAGTGTCTACTTCCTCTCCTGCAGCACACACCCAAGGAAGCTCCAGTGGCTCGGCCACCATGTAGCCCTCAAGGGAGCTGGTTGGTTTTATGCTTCATGGGATACACTGATAATGGTGTTAATACCATTACCATCATCATCACCCTCAAATAAGAAACATCTCAGTGTCACCAGTCTGAGCTTATTAATCCAATGATTGCGAAAACTAACAGTCACACTTAAATAATTCATTAATGGAATAATGGTTTCTTCATTTTTTGCTGGTTCATTTATAATTTATGATCAAAGGAAGGACACCAGGCAACTCATATTGGACAGGGTATTTTAAAAATTAATTTTAATGAATACTTTTATACTGCAGTATACAAAACTACATATTTTTGACAAGGCTCCAGGGAGTGTCCAAGAATTTTTCATTTATAGCTGTTCTTTCTTTCATGTTTATGATAATGCAGTGAGAAAATGGCATTCATGCTGAAAATAAGCCTCTCTGTGAAATCTGTTTTTCTGCATGTTCAACTGTCCTCCAAGATGTATTTATTAGCAGTGCACTGTATGTCATTGTTTTTCCTCAGCATTTATTTCTAAACTGAGAGGTTGGACGAACCCAGGTTTTAGCACTACAGAATTCTTCCAAGTCTCCATCTTTATCAACTCTTCTTTAGTGTCAACTTTTTTTTGTCAGGCAGATAACCATGAGGTTTTATGTCTGTTCAGCTGATCTATACACAGACTTTTTGATGATTGATTTTAAATTTGTGAAGCTGACAAAGCAAAGTGTTTGAAAATTAACACCATTTGCTAGTTCTCCTTTATGGATATTCAATATTTCACCTTAATACATCATATGCTGTGTGTGTCCCACACAGTGATCCAGAAATGCCTAGAAGTTCTAATACAGCTTTGCCTTAATTTCCACTGCTTTTTCACTTTCTCTGAGAAAGATTCAAGTAAGCCAGGTACATGCCCTCCTTCCCTTTTCAAGAGTTACTACGTGCATCAAGATGCCCTCTTAAAAAGCACAGTAGCCAACAAAATGAAAGTTGGAAGTACCAGAAAAAACTGGTGTGTGACCCTTCTCCGTTAAGTCTTTACAAGGATTGCCATCGGCTTCCGTGACAATAATAGATGGTCTTTAATTTTCTTCTTAGGCTCAGCTGTTTTGTCTCTCCCTCCTTATTGGTAAACCTGTCCCTTACACTGTGCATGGTAACATCACTGTCTCTCTGAGCATTGCAAAGGCCCTGCAGTGCCCGTTGACAGAACAGCTTGGTGCTTTAGGGTGCATTAATGAAACAAAATTACTCACTTGGGTAATTGCTACAGATCGCTAACTTTGTTGCTCATTAAGTTTATATACTTTTTTTTTCTTGTTCTTCTAGAAGCTCTTCACTCAACTGACTCAAGTAGAGCTACTTAAAGAAATCTCAACTGGAAGTAACAGATACATTTTGATTTAAAGCATCTGATTAAAGATATGGGCATTTCCAAAAGTATTATGGAAAACTAAACACTGCTGAAATATAAAACACTTACACTTTGTATTTAATGTCATTTTTGGAAACAATTTATGAAATTGTTTTTTCTTTCTTTATCTTTCCTTTTCACTGAAGCTGAAGAAAGTGTAGAGAAATACATTTTTCACTTCTTTTTTACACTAATTCAGAAAACAGAAAAGCAGAGAAAGTGTGAATGTGTTTGTGGGGAGTTTGCCTTTCAATTCAGTATTTTGTAATTTTTATCTTACATTTTCTATTGAGAAAACAGTAAAAGATGAAAATCGAATTTTCCTACTTCATTACAACTACTTCCAAGAAGAAAGACTAAGTAAAAAAATAGAAAAAAACTTCAAGGATGCCCAAACTGAGGAAGCAAACATGACAATTCTATTCTAAAATACCAACATGAACACCAGCTTTGAAACTTTTTTTTTTTTTTTAATGGACTTATCAGAAGAATTAAGTTGGAATTTAGAAATGACCTTTTCCCTAAATCTGTGAGCTTCATCTGTTTCACTTCTATTTTCTGTTTTCACCCCAAAATGGAAGTGACCATGGCAATATTAATATTTCATCCCAGCTGAAAACTCCAGTTCTCACAACCCTAGTGGGGAGCTGGCCATAAAGGCAAGGAGAAGTTTAACCCTCCAAGAGGGTTCAAGCCTCCCCAGGAGCTCAGGACCGGGCATTTGGCTCCCTGGCACATGCTGGTCCTGCAGAGAGCAGCAGGGCCCTCGGCTGCACCATGCTGGTGAGGCATCAGCCACCTCCCCTACACCTCAGTTCCTGCAGGGAATAAATGCACCTTTGCAGCCGGGCATATAAACCTGCAGCAGATTCTTTCAGTGACAAAGCTCCTTGCCTGGGGTGGTTTATGCCCAGGCAACCCTGTACAGAAGGATGTGTGTGGCAGTGCTCACACTTCTGTCCAGATGTGCTGAAGATCTGCCCTCTGTTGTCAGTGCTGGCAAGTTTGCTCTCATTCAGAGAAGTGATTTAAAGAATATCACGGGTTACAATAGATCAAAGAAGGAAAAGCCAGTGTCCCAGCAGCTCAGGCCAGACCTCTCTAGCCTTTAAATACAACCTGTGTCTTCAAGCACACTGGAAGGGAACTGACATTGTGGCTGACGCACTTACACAAAACAACTGGAGTTGTACTTCTGCAGACTGCAATTGTCTGACAAAGAACTCAAAGGGCAAGAATAAAACCATGGAAAGAAATGGAAGCTCCAACTTGGCCTTATTTTCTTTCTTTCTGCACACCAGTCTCAGAAAAAGTATAATCATATGCCAAACATTACCGAATAACACAGCTCAGCAAGCTTGCAGGAACCAGACAGACTCAAAATAATGTTTTTCATACAAAACACAATGAGGTCATATTTGTCTTTCATCTGGGATAATAAAATCAGACCTTGGCTACATTGGGCAGTTGCATGCTGAAGACATCATTGCTGATCTACATTTCTAAAGTAGAAGCATTCACTTTTCATCATGTAGTTTGGGTTGAGAGTAACTTTGTATGCTCTGCAAAACACTCAGATAAGACCCAAAATGCCTTTCCTAGCATCTCACCAAACTAGAGAGATCTTGCACATACACAATTGACTTCTAACGATGCTGCTCAGCAGAACAAAAGAAAATATACAGACCTTTCACATATAAGTGCATGAAAAAAAAAATCTTTGCGTCCAATAAAATAAGTTCAGTGGAGAGATTTTGGGTTGTCTTCTGGGTTTTTTTCCTTAAAAAAAATGTGTCTTTTAGTTCAAAAGAACAGGTTGGTTCGCATTCTTCTCAAAGACCTCTTCAGCATTAAAATTAAACCATGTTTTAAAGGATGCTGGGATAGATTCTGCAAATGTGCATTCAAGCAGATGTTATACAAATAAATTGGATTTCTTCACATAAGCATCAACTACATGAACTGGGTTTGCCTCTCTAAGAGATTTTCAAAGCAAGCTTTGTTGTGTTGCTAAGATCTAGACAAGGAATGCCAGCCCGGACAAGGTTTAAAATGGCTTTAAAGCATTTTATCATCAGACTCAAGTCCTCAAAGTGACTAAAAGGGGCAGGAAGCACTGGTATTTCAAACTCTTGAATTTTTATTTCCCAGCAGGAGATGAACAGTCATATTGTTCCTCAGTGCTTGGGTGGACAATGTTTTTATTTCATTTGAACTGAAAAAAATATTAATAAAAACAATGCTGCACAATGCAACACCATTTGTTTGGGTAAATAACACTTAGATGAAAGCCAGTTCATTATTATCACTTGAGATTGGAGGCCTCTACTGAGACTACTGACCTGCTCTGCTGGGATCTGTGTAAATACATGATGAGAGACAGTCCTTGGGCCAAAGAGCTTGCAATCCAAACACACAGAGCAAACATCAAAGGTATTACAATCATCCTCACACTCAGTGCAGCCCTGTCACATTCCCCTCGTGTGAGGCTTCCTTCCAGTTAATGTAAACACAAGTTTCACCCCCCTTTTCAGTTTGTTCTCCCCATTTTCCAAGCCCTGTGCTCAGCACTTGAGCTGAATCCTGCAGGGCAGTCAGACATGCTCTGCCCTGACCCTGAGCCCTGACCATGGGTCTGCTATCTGGAAAGAAAAATGCACACATGACTCAGCAGCAAGGATCCCTGTTACTGAGGCCAGATGGATCAGTGTCTGCTTACCCCTCTCCAAAGGAGTTCATCCTGTGCCATGGAGATGAGTGACACGCATACAATGGGTGGGAGGAGAACCAGATCTCCATCTCTTGCAAAGACCATCATGATGTCTCTAGTTGCCTGCAGACTGGTAAACTGGTCTCCTCACTGCTCAGATGATGAAGTAGACACAGAGACCTGCACATCTGGAAGCAATCTGGAAGGAAGCTCTTCTGCAGCCTTCTCATCTATCTCCCTTCATCTGCTTTGCAGCACATGGCATTTAACCTGCCCCTTGCTGCTTGGCAGCATGACACAGTGTGGGCACAAAGTATGACATGAGAGATGTCTTGAAGGAGGGGACAAATGCCAGTGTCCTCAGTACCTGACATGGTTTTCAGCACTTGTTGAGCTCAAGCTTAGCTGCAGAACAGCTGATATTTGCAGGCAAGTTTGTGGCATCTGTCAAGAGTACCACTGAATCTGGTTGCTGGTGGCTTCTGGTGAGGAACTGCATCAAGCTCATCACACACCAACCCTCCTTCTTTGACTGTGGTTCACTGGTACAGGTGATCAGCCTAAATTTATGTCTCTCTGCAGCTTGTCTGTTTTTAAACTCATGGGTTATTTTTCCAAAGCCAGTTACAGCAGATGTGGCATTACTGTGTCTGGATTATTATGCTGCCTAGAGAACTGAAGGCCCAACATGTGCCTTACATTTTTTTTGTTGTTGTTGTTG